ACCCTTTGTTTGACTCTATCCTAAATAATCTTTGAGATGGATCTTCTAGATCTTCTAGTTGCCTTGCCTAGGGAAGCATTGTTTTTTAACAAGAGACAACATTTTGTGCAAAGGACATTTTTTCCCCATACAACCTTGTTTTGGTTATTTGTGGAGAGCCAAGGTACACAAATGTGTACACAAATGGCTTTTTTCACAAATATATCCCATAGTGAAAAGAACATTAAAAATGTACAGAAATTCTTGCAGTCTCATCAATGCAGAAGAAAACTTTTGCACTTTACAATTCTTGCATGCAATAATGAAATAAACAAAGATTTATATCCCTGCCTAATAGGACGACCTTCTCTGACTGTAAACAAACTGGCAGACTGCTGAACCTGGGAGCATTTTTTAAAGGAATCCTGGGTATTTAACTACATGATCTGGCAGAAAAAGACATTGTCAGGGTCATTACACAGGCAGAATTTTTGTCAACTTCATTTCTTTCTCTGTGAGGCATTTTCAAGTTCCTCTATAACTCTACAGATTGGAGAAATAAATAAGGAATATATTCAAGCTTGCTTCAGTTGAGATTTATGTACTTATTGCATTTGTATCCCATTTTTCTTTTGAGGACAGTCTATATCATTATTTTTCCTCTCCAACTAGCTTTTCTCCAGAAAACATCCCTATGCAGTCACCCAAATGAGGTGAATGGGTGATCTGGGAATTTATCCTGGGAATATAACCATTAGTAACCTGGCTCTCAGTACACCTCAACTAGTGGAGCTAAGCAGAAAAGGTAGACTTCAGGGGTATGTGCCTAGTCTGTCCAACTCTCTTCCACAGAACCTTAGTAACTATGACAGTTAGGCATATTGTAGATCAGTGGTTCCCAAACTTTGGTCCTTCAGGTGTTTTGGATTTCAACTCCCAGAAGACCCAGCCAGCTTGGCCAACTGTCAGGAATTCTGGGAGCTGAACTCCAAAACATTTGGAAGACCAACGTCTGAGAATCACTGTTACATATACTCAGATTGCATTCCTATTGATGCACTGTGTCAGAGGTTGCTCCCCCTCCTTTTAAGGTGATGCAGCAGTAGGGAGAAATTTGAGTAGCCTTTCCCCCTGCCCCAAGTTCTTACCTCTTTCTTGGCTATGGTGCCTACTGCCACTACCAGTGTGAGTATGTCAGCATGGTGCACAAATAAGAAGCTGCCTTTTGTCTCTTACATGATTTATCACAGATTTGTACATTATATATATTATATTATATGTGTGTGTGTGTGTGGGACTATACAGTTGTCCCTCCCCATTTGCAGACTTTGAGTCTGCAATCTCATTCTTCACAGGGAGGGACAAGCAGTTATATGTAAAATGACTGCACTTAGCTGTGCGCAAGCCCTCGCTTGCACCATTAGTTTTAATGGGGCTCAGATATTAGCAAGCCACTATTTTCATGGGGGGGAGGGTCTGGAATGGATCCTCTGCAAATTAGGAGGGGCAACTGTATATCTATCTGTCTGTCTATCTGATAGGTAAGTAGGTAGGTCACTTATCACAATAGATGTATCAATTTAGAGACTATGGCTTGAATCCCATTGGGCAATTGTGAATGCATAACCTACACACTTGTAACTGTTTTATATTCATGATCCCAACATAGCACCTAGTTTACGGGATATATAGGGATTATGTCCCTGTTGGCTCTCTTCTATCCTGCTTGAACTGCAGTAACAACAAACTAAACTCTAGATCCACCAGAGATGCCAACTTTCAGCACTGTCTGAGGTAATTATCAGAGTGTGGAAGCACCAGCTCAGTTTTCAGTATTTGGTAATGCACTGAACACACTTGAATAACTCACAGAAACAGTTGATTTCTTCCAAGTCCTTGGAAGCTCTTTACTTCCAGTAGTTGCAGTACAGTATATACAAGAAATTTATAAACACTCGTCTTGGCTACCATCAACACACTTCTGCTGTATTCAAACAAATCACCAGTACTCTCCAACCAACACACCAACTTTTCCACTCCACTCCAACCAACAATATCAGTCACTTCAGCCATACAAAATATTTTAATAACCAGCTTAAAGGAGCATTGCTTCCAACAGTCCCAATTTACCAAACAGCAACTGCTGCAATGAATTGAGGTTTGTCACTCAGAAAGCAGCTGGCTGTTGGTCCCACCTTTCCTCATGTGAGCACGAACAATCTCCAGCATGAGGAGGAATTGTGACAGGATCCCTGCTTCTGCTTGTTGCTCTAGAGATCACTCAGAGGAGGGGGGTGGATTGTCAATTAGTTACTACTTCTTAATCATCAGACCCCTGTCAATCACAGTGTCTGTTTCTTTGTAAGTGTGAATTGGAAGGATCAGGATGGGATTCATTGTGCAGCACCATAATTATGGTGCTTACACATTCATAACTTCTCAGCAGGATTCTGGTATGTCATTTTAGATGGAATCAGAACCAAAACCAATACTGTAGCATTATATTTATACTTACATATACATTACACTTACAGACACTTACCATATATACTTTACTATAGGTCAAGAAATTTATGCCCCAAAATTGACCCTTAAATCCTGGGTTGACTTATAAAAGGGACAATACAGGAATACTCAGGGGATGCAGTGGCTCAAGTGGTTAAGATGCTGACTCTGTTGATTGCAAGATTGGCAGATTGGCAGTTCAAGCCCGGGTGCTGCATGATGGGGTGAGCTCCCATCACTAGCCCTAGCTTCTGCCAACCTAGCAGTTCAAAAGCATGCAAATGCAAATAGATAAATAGGTACCACTTCAGTGAGAAGGTAAACAGCATTCTGTGCAACCATTCTGGCCAAATGATTACAGAGTAGTCTCTGACAGTGCTGGCTCTTCAGCTTAGTAATGGAGATGAGCGCCACCCCCTATGGTTGGACAGTCAATGAGGAATACCTTTATCTTTACCTTTACCTTTACTCTAATACTACTTAGGGCCTTTGCAGACTGCCAGAAATACTGCACATTAAATTGAGGCACTGTCCTGGCTCAGTGCTAGGGAGTCATGGGAATTGTATTTTTTTCCAAGACATTGAGCCTTCTCTGTCAGAGAGCTCTGGTGCCACAATAAATTACAGTTCCCATGATTCCCTAGCACTGAGCCAGGGCAGTGCCTCAATTTAATGTGCACTATTTCTGGCAGTTTGCAAAGGCACTTAGAAAGGTCCTGAAACACTCTTCATGCCATGAAGCATGTGTTTTTCTCTGTGTGTATATGTATGTGTGAAAGAGGTTCCCACTCTCTTCACCTCACTAAACACCACTTCCTTCTTTTCCCCAGTCCAATCTGCAAGGCTTCTCTTCCCATGGAAAAAAAACCTCCCCATTTAACACCTCTTCTTTCTCTTCTCCAGTCCGATCTGCAAGGCTTCTCTTCTCATGGAAAAAAAAAACCTCCCATTGAACACGACTTGCTTATTTTTCCCAGTTCAATCTGGAAGGGTTCTCTTCCCATGGAAGAAACTCCCCATTTAACATAACTGCCTTCTCTTTCCTTGTCCAATTTGCAAAGCTTCTCTTTCCACAGAAAAACTCCCCATTGAACATCACTTCCTTCTCTTCCCCAGACTGATTTGCAAGGCTTCTCTTCCCATGGAAAAACACCCCTTTTAACTCCACTTGCTTCCCTTATCAATTCACTCTTAAAACATCTCCTCCAGCACCTGGGAACTGGTGTTAGATGGTCCAGAGAAGTCCAGACACAGAGAAGGAGAGACAGAAGTTGTATTTTCCCTTTTCCATCCTTTGTTATCATCCCCTAAATTTTACCCTTGACTTATCCATGGGTCATATGAAAATCCTGGATTTTGACCCTGAAACTTTCCCTCGACTTATACATGAGGTCGACTCGTACATGAGTATATATGGTACCTATATTTATACTTTTCATACACCTTTAATATGATGTTTAACTGCATCTATTGCTGCATTTACACTGCATTAGCACTGCAAAATTAATGCAACTTGACACTCCTTTAACTACTATGGATCAATGCTATGGAATGCTGGGACTTGTTTTTTGATATATTTAGCCTATCTCTCTCTCTGGTGCCATAACAAATTTCAAATTCCAGGATTCCATAGGATGGAGCAATCAAAGTTAAAGCAGTGTCAAATTGCATTAATTCTGCAATGTGGTAGAAGCCTTGGTCTGCATCCTAGCTGAGCCATATATCTGCCTGAAAGTTATTTATTTCAGTGAATCAAAAGGTAAAAAGACTGATCTCTTGGATTAGGAAGAAATAATAAAGTGATCTATCAGGCAGAATTACATGTCCCCAGCCCCCTTCTATCCTCTGTAGCCCCAACATGGCCATTTACTGTCTGGTGGAGAATGGGAGATGGCAGAGAAGCATCCAACTATGTTTCTAATGTTAGCGACACTATGGTGGGACATCCTATAGGATTGCCAGGTGTTCTTCAGAAGTCTGGGATGATGACATCATTGCTGTGTGTCCACTCTCCATGTCCATGTTGTGAGGGAGCTGGAGGAGGTAAAATGAAGGAGATGAGGTTGGAGTGGGGAGTTGGGCCACTGTGCAAGATTTGTAGTGAATTTTGACCTCTGTGAAGACCTTTCTGGTTCCTATGCACCTCTACAAGCGGGAGAAATAAACAAGAAATTTATATACATATGAAGCCTGCTTTGGTTGAAATGTATTTATTTATAAATACTTATGGAAGCATAAGTTGGATGTAAGCATCTGTAAGTCCTTAATAGGCAGTTGGCCCATTCTATTATATATTTTTCCAAGAAGGCTTATGGCTTATGTCCACAAGGAACCTTGGGTATCAGAATTCTATGAAGAAGTTTGCCCCTTCCTTAGTTCCATTGCAATGTCCATAGCATCCTCACCATTCCACATTATAATGTCCAGTCATACAGATGCACTACCTGAAACACACAAAACTCCATCTGAATAAAAAATCAGTAGGTCTTGCAGGGATTAAGGAGGAGTATATGACAGTCAGTGTGGCGTAGTGGTTTGAGTGTTGGACTACAACTCTGGAGGCCAGGGTTCTATTCCCTTCTCAGCCATGAAACCCACTGGATGACCTTGGGCAAGTCACATGCTCTCAGTCTCAGGGGAAGGCAATGGCAAACCTCCTCTGAACAACTTTTGTGAAGAAGACCCCATGGCCTTAGGTTCGCCATAAATCAGAAATGACTTGAAGGCACAAAACAACAACAACAATCAGTAATATACACATATGAAATAAAAAGGAAGCATGCTAGAAAAAAAATGATAAAATTTGCTTGTTTACATGGATTGTGTCTCTGCATGGTTTAGTTTCTTCATGAAGTGTCAAGCTCATAAAGGGAAGGATAAAGTGATTGTTTCTTCTACTGCTCCAAGTAAGAATAGGTGAAACTGTCCATCTTAATGTCTCACATTTCCCCCACCATTTTACCAGTCTATTAATCCCATCCTGCATATGTTTATTTTTTTTGTATTCCCGTGTACATTGTCCACATTTCTTATATTCTTACATTTCCTGCAATATAATAGATTATTGTACAATATCATCACTGGTACACACATTTTGTATGAACTTTCCTAATTATTGTATGCAAGCTTTGAACAGAGGACTGCATCATAGAATGTGGAGGTGTGCAAATACCAAAGAATAATTGCATTTGGGTTCAGGCATTGGTTCAGAAAGTGCAAATTAGTTGTGTTTGGATTAGGCTCCTCAAGTTACTCAGAATCATTTTTGCTGCAGATGAGAAGAAATAAGTGTTATTTATATTGCTTTCTTGGAATGCTTTCATACTTTAGTAAGACTGACAGTTATAACTGGCAGAATATTGGTTGCTTCAGTGGAGCTGAAAGCAACATGCTGCCTAATAAATTTTAAGAAAGTTCAAAGTGGATTGTGTGGGCACAAGAACACACATAACAGCCTTGCCTAGTGTACTGAGATAAGCTTCTTGTCAGTGACAATGCTGGTATTCATAAGTAATTGTACAACATCAGCAGGTGTTAGCAGCGAAACTTTATAGTGGCTTCCATATCTTTTTAAATTCCTTGTTGTTAACTGCCCTTGAGTCAATCTTGACTCATGGCAACCCTATGGATGAGACATCTCCAAAACCCTCTGTCCGCCACTGCTCTGCTTAATTCCTGCAACCCCATATCCATGAATCCTTAATAGAGTCCATCCATCTAGCATGTGGCCTTCCTCTCTTCCT